TCCTTAATTTTTTTCTAACCCAGAACTAAACTATAGACTATAGTGTTTATACTTTATACAGTATTTCCATATAAGTTAGATTCGAATGATATACATTTTTAACTTTAAACAATTTTACTTATATATTTTTTGACATGAAAACGAAATAGACTGAAATAGTGAAATATAATAAAATAAAAAACAAAATAAAATAACTTAAATCTTAAAATGAAAAATTAATTCGTTAATTTCACGTTAATTAAAAAATAAATTTAGTAAGTTATAACAGTTAAGTTAATGAAAAGCCAAAAGTAACTAGTTAAATTAAAAAGTTAAAATTAAATTAACTTTTTAACTTAACATAAACTTTTTAACTCATTAATGCACAGCCTTGCTTTTTTGAGCAAACGAATGTTGTAACAGAAATTTTAATTTTATAGAGACTTAGGACTTTCTATATGATTGTCGAGTGCCGACTGACTAAAAGTTTTGTTGATAATTGCTGAGTTGAATACTTATGAAATACAAGACACTTCTTTTGTCAATGTAGTTATTATGACAAAATAGATAGATATCATCACAGTTGTAAGAGTTTTTTTTGGTATGCGTACATATCTCCTCCTCTTCCGGCTAATGTCGTAGGTCCTCCGATTCTGATTGGTTGATTTTTGTCTTTGTTATAATATATGTATATATAGTATATGATTGACAGCCAATATGAAGTTAAGAACTACGATATAGGCAAAGTAAAGAGCGGAGGATAAGTATCAAAAAACCGTAATGATACCCATCTATTTTGTCATGGTAGGTATTTATAAAAATATAAAAAAAAAATTGTGTTTTAATGAAATAAAATAAATTATTTTCTTTATCAAACAAGTTTATTCTTATCTTTCGACAACATTAAATCGCTCAAATGGGATGCTGGAAAATATGTCAAAAAAGGTTATTCACCCAAATTAACTGTCCCATATTTAACATTTAACACTTGGAATACGAGATCTCTGTTTTTTTTTTAGAAAAGATAAATATAGAAATTATACAGACAGAGATTCAAGTATCATAAGCACAATTTGGGAAATTAAAATGGTAATGAATTGGCAATGCTTTGCGAGTGTGAAGATTACTATCCATTGATGGATCGAGAGAGAGAGAGAGAGTGAGAGAGAGAGAGAGAGAGAAAGAGAGGGGATGGAGAGAGACCGATCAATATTAAAAAAAACAAAATAAAAAAAAAACGTTTTTCAATTATTTTTTAAAGTTTATATTTGGGAGTAAATCTAGGTTGTCACAATGATGAATTAACCAATACAAGCCATGTCAGAATTAGTTATAAATCAGTCCATATGAAAACTAAGATATTCCATGTAAATATATGCACCTATAATACAATTCAGTGGATTTCTTTTTGATGTTCCTATAAGTTTATACATTTGTTCAGCTATAATAATAAGTTGTGTACTAGAAGCTAATAAAAAAAAAATATATAAAAAAGTATTTAAATAATGTTTTAAAACCAAAATGTCTGTAAGTTTTCTTATTTCCAATTTAGTCGAATAACAGTTTATTTGTGTGCACATCAATAGGTGGTTCGATTATAAATATACACACAAATATTATAACACATAGTTATTGGTACCTATATAAACGCGTATTTTCTCGATAATAAAATAATTATATACACCAGTAATTTTTAAACCTATAGTGTGTAGTGTGTATACACAGGTCATATGAGCACAATTATTAAAAAAAAAAAATCCTCATTTGATAATAATATATAAATTGACCATCTCCGGTTAAAATCCAATCGTCCTGTTTTTCGATCTCGTAATAATCATCAAAAACTAACCCTCGAGGCCCGGTTAGTATATTTTATACATAATAAATATATATTATTTTATATATGTATACGAAGCTATTATAATATAATATTATTATATAGTGTCAGAGGGAGGCTGGGTACCTATTATAAGTAATATTTTTAATCGACTGCAGCGGCCCAGCCAGAAGCTAATAATCGTTTTGGAATTCGAGGCGTTCGATCGATAATAATCACTTTTGTAGCGGTAGCGGCGACGGCGGCATTGATAACGGCTGCACGTAATTTACGGCGTGTTAGAAATATTGACCGACTGGGATACCTGTTGATTCGTAGCCGTCAACGGTCGTTTCGCCTTGTGCACCTATTATAATATATATAATATTTTATCGGACGCTGCACACAACCAGAAAGCGAGGGAGAGAGGAGAAATTGGGGGAGGTAGAGAGAGAGAGAGAGAGAGAGAAAGAGAATGCGTGTAATCATGTGTAAACGATGTAATTAATTTTACGCGTCGAGAACAAAACAACGTATATTTGCATAATATAAAACAAGTCTTTGGAGCAAAAATATTACGTCTAGTTGGAAAAAGTAATAGAATATAGACGGAGAAAAGGCGGACAGCGACTCACGGCTTGGTGGTGTGTGTACCTATATGTATATATATAGGCACGTGTATTATTAAAATATATATTTATACCTATATACCTATTATTAAGACGAATGCCGCCCCGCGTCCGACGTGTGTGCACGTATTTCGATTAGACCAAAGGGAACCGGTCGTAGGAGGTTCTCGTTAAGAAAGTGGCCATCTTCATGTCCAAAAACGGCACCTATATATACGATACCTGTGCCTGTCGTCTCGCGGCGCGGTGTGATGTATATTATAATACATAGTACACATATATTAATATTATTATTATTATTATTAATATATTATTATGCTCATACTGACGGCGTGTTAATAAACGCTTGTCAACGTAATGTTGATACCCATTGGCAATAGTGTTATTAATATTTATTGTTTGTTATTAATTTTTGCCGCGAACGACTGAAAGTTTTTCACACTATCGGCGTGCCGGGCCGTTTGGGAAATACTGCACCATGGTGCTGTACAACGAGTGGTGGGTTGACGGAACTATATATACATAATAATATAAAAACGTTGACAAAAAAAAGTGAGGGGGGCATGGCCCTGTGAGCGCCCTTGGAAATAAGCACGTAATTGATCGTAAATTAAAATTAAAATTACACTACGTGTAAAAATGGCTAAGTAAAAAAAAATATAAGATCTTTCAGAACTATAAAGATGTGATATCATGAATAAATGCTAAGTATATTGAATTTAAGTAAACTTATTCTCTTTCAATAATTTATTTACTTGGCAAGGAATTAATATTTTAAAAGAAACAAAGTGTGGTGAACAAAATAATTAAATGGCGAAGGACTATTATTAATATCACTTCTTATTATTTAAAAAATATTATTATTAATATTTATAAACTATTCTAAATAATTTCTCGCCAAGAAAATACATTATTGAAACACAATTAGTTTATTTAAATCCAATATACTTCTCAATTATTCATGATATCACATCTTTATAGTTCTTAAAGATCTTATATTTTTTTTACTTAGCCATTTTTACACGTAGTTTACGGAGGGTTTTTGTTGAGATATCACTAATTTTTATCATCAATGCAAATAATGATAATGTATCTAATATTTTTATCTATATATTATATATGTATATATAGTATATTGTATAAAGTACTGCTTAAAGTACGGACAACCATATTATTTGTGTAAATACTGAGTAAATATTGAGTATTTACACAATGATCTAGGTATAGGAACGGTGATATTGTTTATAGTACATTAATTTTGTCATATTTTGACCGATGACTAGACAACAAACGTTGCTATGACGATGGCTACAGTGATTCCTGAATTTAATATACATTTCCATTAAAAAGTTCACACTTTTTCATTTAGGACTTAATTTCTAAATGTACGATTTTTATGATTTTTACAAAAGCACAGTCTACACAATATTTTTGATGTTCTGGAGTTTACTAGGAGTTAATTGGTATATTAGAAAATTAGATATGTCGTATAACAAATTTACCCATATTTTACACAGTAAATTGTAACGTATTATCATATCGAACAGAAAATAGTCAAATATCACGTTACTATATTGAAAATATAGGTTATTACATAGGTAAGTATTTTAAACCTCTCCTTCTAGTTTCTTCCACTCAAATCGAATCTGGTTATTTCAGAGAAATGTATAAAATAATAAATACCTGAAGTCTAGTACTTAATTATAAGTGTACCAGTTTTTAAAAAACATAATTATTGATGTGTGAAATTTAACATTTAAAAAGCACCTCAATCGAGTATTAATCAAAAATTACAGGGCAACATTTTAAAATAATAACATCTTCGATGTAGGTAGTATTTTATAAAAAATCTATCAAATATTACAAACTTATCCCATTAAAATTCGTTTATATAATATATTAGAATAATGGAATTTATCAGGTCCGTTACCCCAGCACTACCATGTTTTAAATTTAATTTCAAAATTATTCAACATTATATACTTATTATTTTGTCGTCTGACATAGCCAGTATCGAAATAAGAAAATAATGACCAAATAGCTGAGTCAATTTTTTAATGTAGGTACTATTACTAACTAGGTTGTAGATATACTGGTTGTATAACTATCATATTAAATTGCTTATAATCACGGTTGTATATCTACAACCATAGACATGGAACCTATACCTACCTATAATATATTTTTAAAGTTTATGAAAAGTACGTACTTTGTATATTAATTTTTCTTGGTGGTTTTACATTCTAGTACTATGGTAATCTACTGTGGGTTGTGTATGGTTAAGGTTCATCCCTGGCAAATAATCTTAATAATAATTTCACTATCATGGTGCCTGCCTCCATTGACGACAAGGATAAAGCGGCAGTCAAGGACCAGTCTAGTGGCCAAAGGACGAGCTCCAAACAGGTCAAAAACTGAAGCATGTTTAGAAACTATCCACGAAGACGAAAAATCCAGGCGGTGTCATGTCCTCCTCAAAGGAACCCGTCTTCGAGAGAATCGTCTTACAGGTGCACTCTGGGGATTCTATCACTATTCACGAATGAAGGTATAATGGTTGTCCAAAAACAAGAACAATGGTTTTAAACAATGTCATTGCTCCCAAATTTGGCCAACGTGCAGCAAAAAATTATACATGCAAAAAGCATCCAAAGGTACTGATGATGAGCCGTTTTCATGGGAAGCTCGTAAGTTTTTTCGTAAAAAGCTTATTGGAAAAAAGGTATTTTTTGAAACTTGCTGGTCAAGTATGTGGTGTTGGAAAGATAACTCGAGACTATGGTGACATCTTTTACCCAACATTGGACAACAATATTGTAAACGAGCTTGTTGAAAATGGTCTAGTAACTGTAAAAACTGTGATGTCAAATAACCGAACTACTTATATTCAAAACCTAGTTGTCCTTCAGAACAAGGCTAAACCTGCTACGGTAGGAAGATGGGATCCCAATGCTAAGAACACTGCAAAGAAAAATAATTTCATTGATGAACCATTTTTTAAGAAAAATTCTAAAACACGTATTAAGGCTGTTGTTTAATCTGTTATTGACGGAACCACGATGAAGCTGTTGTTGTTACCTGAAAGAAACATGATCCTTTTTCACCTTTTGCGAATCAGATGTCCATCAGAAGATTCAGATTTGGGAGATGAAGCAAAGTTCTTTGTTGAAGTTTGTTTATTGCAAAAGGACGTTGAGGTTACTTTGGAAAGAGCGTGCTTTCTAATAGGAAAAATCAATCTTTCTGTAGAACTATCAATCATCTAGCTGGCGATGTCGCTTTAGAATTGGTTAAACAAGGTTTCGCTGTTTGTCCAAAATATAGAGTGGAGTACTTACACGAAAGTTCTGAGAAACTCTGGGCAGCTGAGAGACAAGCCATGGAAAATAAATTGAGGTATTGTCAATATTTCACATACACGGGGCCAGAGATTGCTGAAAAAGAAATAGTTGGTACCGTAATTGAAATTATAAGAGAAGAAGGCCTGTTAGTTAAGTCTTCCCAAAGCAAAAAACTCCAAAGAATATACTTTTCTAACATTATACCGGCCAGGCTGCTAGTTGAAGTACTAAGAGGTGAACCAATTGGCAACGGTCAACCATCAGCTACACAAGCCCCACGGACTTTGGGTAAACAGAAAAGTATATTCTTTGTCGTGTTCAAACTCGGTTTTTTAACATCCATGCAAAAGGTATGATAATAACACGTACACATTCCGACATTCGTGATCGGAACAACAGTGCCACGAAGATAGGTATTGACCAGCCTCCTTATATGTGATACTTTGTGTGTGTGGGGGTGTGTAAGTATAATTTGTATCTGATGTAACATTTAATTTATTGTCTTAGTTCTAAATGTTATTAATTAAAGTTATTATATAAATTGATGTGAATTATAATAATCTACTGTAATGAATACATCTTATTTTAATTTTTAAATGTTGTCTGAACAATATGTATAATAATGATGTATATGATCTTTAAATTTAAATACCGTTCGATAAATATAATATATAATTAAATATGATGTATATATTATATATATACCATTACAGAACATAGTTAGCGATGCTTAAGCTGAATAAAAAAAAATCACTATCCGATATTGCCACACGAAACTACAGAAGTCATTCAACATGATAGTTATATTATCCATGAGGGATGTTCTTAAAATTAAGATATTCCAATATTTTAATAACATTAATAAAATTAATTTACTAAAACTTCTTTATACTTTTTTTATCGTTGAATTTTAATATGTACCTAACATAATTCGGAACATTTACCAAATTTATTTTGTGGTCGTGCGTGTTATAACACAATAGCTTCTATACAAACCCCCACTCAATTTTTTTTTCTCTAAATCTCGCGTAGTCAGGCCACTGAATGATTTTATATGTATAATAATATTTCACAGACGTGCAGACGTTTGTGTGCAATTTTCCCAACGTGTAACGACCCGCGAGATCATCGCATTAAAAACCGGGCGCTCATAAATATCATAGATCAATTCGTGTACCGGACACAATACTATAACGCATAATGTTATGTAATATTGCTATTATTAAGGTCATTATTAATGCCTCTATACATAAACACGGATGCGATGTTTACCACCCGTCGGGTTATCGAATCGACTGTCTGTAAATCAAACCGGAAAAAACGATGCGGCGGCATATGATGGCAAAACAAATATTTGGGCGAATAAACACGGAAGACCTGCGTAAAAGCTATAATCATACAAACTGCTGAAGTAGCCTCTTTATGTAGGTATGCATATAAATATTTAATATAAAAAGTATCCCTACATTATCATTTTTAACTACTCCTTTTGGTACCTAATTTTCAATTTTCAATTGAATGCATTTATTTTAAAGTAATAATACACGTCTCTGGACATTTTATATCGACCTTTTCTACTTTACCGTCGTCGGCTTGATACCATTCCTCTATACCGATATATTTTATATGGGTAAAATACTAATATGTTATATAGTGACCAGAATTTGAATGTAAGCATTGTGTAGTAGAACTTCTCACGAAGTGTACAATATCACTATGTCAATATGTAACTTTTTTTTCGAATAATCGTTGTGTTTAGTAGTTTTATTTGAATTTTGAGACATACCCTAACAATTATTCTTATTTTCTTATTCATATTTCATTTTTCTCCGGAATTATTTGATTGAAGGAAATGGAATTGAGATTCAATAAACTGCTTTCCGTACATTTATTTTTCTTATAATCACATTATCTGTTGTTGACGTTCACTCTTGACTCGTTAGAATTTTGCATTCACATTATAAATATAAACTTTTAGGTGGTAACCCTCCTCGGCGCCTTAAGCGAAAATGGTGCAGAGACCTACTAAACCCTTAATCAAAAACAAACAAACAAAAAAAAAAAAAATGTATTCATTTTATAAAATAAAATAATTAAAAGACGAAAGGGTCATGAAAGTGGGTGGCTTCTTCATTCAAGATTTTCTTCCTTTTGTATTATAGCCCATACTCTTATTGTGCCTTATTTTGTACAGAGTGTATTTTATGAATAATAAAAAAAAAATTTTAGGAAAAAAAATTTTATTATTATTCATATTTTTTATCATGTATGAACAGTAGGCGGCTGATAAGCTTATCATGATAAAAAATAATTCTTATACGAAAAAAAGTTTAAGGTTTTAGAACTTGCTTATATTTTGGTTTCACGTTATCAATATTATTTAATTGAAAAAATCAAGTTGCTCATCATGTCTGTAATGATATTTAATTGAAAAATTCTACGGTATTGCATATAGTATATTTTACCCCGTGAATACAAAGAACTGCACCTCCCTGCACGTCCCACGACCGAATAAAAATATATTTATATTAAAAATACCGTATAGGTACGCGTCGTCACGATGATGGAATATGATTTTTTATCTCCCGGGTATAATTTGGAAAAAATGACTCGGCGCCTTTTATAAGAATACAGAACGACGCCCGCGGTATTTTATATGCGTTTAATAATAATAATAATAATATGAAACCGAACGCACATTGGACCTCGCCGCCGCCCGAAAAATATCGTTTTGCCGCTCGTACCCACCTGTAGCGTTCGTAAATCGCGGTCGTAAAGTTGCTGCTGTCCCTCGCGAAATACGCCGCCGCCGCCTCCGCGCATTATACTATTATGTTTACCTGACGGCTATTCTTGCATATAATATTATTATTTTTGAGTTCAATATTACGGGCGGCTGCTGTTTGGACCGGTATGGCGGGCGGTATCATAGTAGTTAAAATATTAACAGTAGGTACCTACCTACTACTATATAGACACTAGTAGTAGCTTAAGTAGTAGTGGTATATAGTAGTAGTAGTTATTTTGATTTGTTCGTCCGCAACTGTTGCATCGCGTGTTCAGCAGGACGTCCAAATATACCTACTATCCATTATTACGATATTACGCATATATTATTTATATTATATTATATATAGGTTTGTATTCCTCGGGGACAAAAAGAATAAAATACGTTTCGTTATATTTTTTTTACAGAGATAATATATATCGTTTCACGTATTATATAGGTATATCGCGTATATACGTATACAGATGTGTCCGTTTTAAAATATAATATGTTTTTATTATTCTTATATGTATTCGGATTTCGGGTTCCGACTCCTGAGTAGATATTATATACTAGATGCAGTTCTCTGGAAGCTCTAGGCGATGAAAACGACCGCGTGTTTGTGTGATCCGACGACGCACTCCGACGGTTTGTTGGACAGGGGGGAGGGGATGGAGAGGATAAAAAGAAAAAGCCGGTGCATCGTAAAACAAGTGTCCCGGACGAGGTCTCTAACATGACTGGTGGACACTGCAGCAGTGCGGCTATATAATAATTAATAATATACTTAATACAGGTACATTATAATATCATTGTATAGATTTTTTAAAAGATAATCATTGTAACGACGCTCGATGGTAGATCAAAGTTGTAATACTTAATAGTGATTTGGGCATGTGTGCAAAAGGTGTTTACTCATACATAGGTACCAGCTCCATAGTACCTGAAGTGTTACACCCAATGCCCCAAATATATATACTGCGCTTGAGGGATTTAGTCCTCCCAAATATCTGTCAAGTATAATCAATTTTTTATAAAGCAGGTTACTTTATTTTTACATTTTTTAGTACATTATAAGTATATAATATAGAGTAAAATAAAAATGCTCATAACTCACTTAAAAAGTAACCTAGTGGACTACAATTAACTATACTAATAAATAATAATATTGTGAATTGTTGTTTTTCTATGTGTATTGTACTATTTGACATTTTAATTAAACACATAAATAATACAGTATAGTCGCCATTGATGCAAATAGTGGGGGGATTGGGGGGACTTAGCCCCCCCAGTTAAAATCTAGTAATTAATACTAATTTTTATATTCTGTGGTACTAAGCAATATGGCCCATGGGGAGGGGTTGCTTGAGTCCCCAAAAAATTTTGTCAATTTGTGCCTATGATAGTCTCAACCATATTGGACTTACGGTGAATGGAGTCTTTCGTCCATTAGTCTTAAACTGGCTGGTCCCGATTTACACCTATTAACACATAGGAAAAAGTTCATCTTTTGGACTAACCAAAGTAGTTAATGGGGTCAATGTGTACACATTTCTTAGTCCATTTTCCCAATTCATCACATATATTTAGACCACGGTTATCTACATGTAGATAACCGAAATTTTGACATTAAATACTATTTATCCTCGACTCGTCAGTCGTCACATCTAAAAGTATTTAAGTTATTATTCATTTTTTTTGCATATTAAAAATCACTAAGAAACAACATTTTTGAAAAAAAAAAATTTCTCAAATGTTCACAATTCGCATAATAATAAATGCTCTTTTTATTCTTAGACCTATTATTATTTATTGATTCGTTCGAACAAATAAAATACTCTGGTCCCAAAGTGAGTCCAATATAATCGGCTACTACTGTATATTGTATAAACTATAAGTTGTCTAAAATATTATTATAATTTTTGTTTAC